AGAAAACAGGGATTTATCTTCCAAAAAATATCCTTTTTTAACTTCTGTCAGGTGGAGATGCCCACTAGCCTAGGGCAGAGTCTTTGAGCTGACTCTGGGAAGAACAAGGTAAGTCCAGGAGCAAACAGGCGTTTGGAGCAAGAGCGCTGGTGCTCATATTGTCTGCCAACGAAAAGCTGCAGTGCATGAGAACCAGCACACGTGTTCAGAGGAAATCTGGCCACTTCTTCCAAAGGAAAGGGGTAAGCTATGCAGCTGATAGCACAAGGACTGGATAAGGACCCCATGCAGCTATGAGTGGCAGCTGTAAGTTCAACATGACATGGAGGAAAAACACTGCAAAGGTAGCCAGTAGCTGGTTAGAATTCTGTCTCCTCCTCTTATTACCCATGTGATGCCTGAAGTTATCTAACTTCTGAGCCTCAATCCCTTCATCTATAAAATTAGATAACATCACCTTCCCTTGTAGGTGTGTTGTGTGAATGACTGATAATATATGTAAATTGTACATAACATTGTATGTTCTCAATACGTGGGAATTATTCATTTATTCTATATGGATTCTCAAGTTAGCATTGTAAGCTGTGTTAAGATAGTCAATAAATTTCCTAGTGAAAATACTGAAACAAATTGTTTTGTTGACATCCTAAGTCATATGTTATTATCAAGTATTGTCTGACACTTCTGAATAAAATATTTGGGTGTAGGGGCAAGAAGAAATGGAAAGACATTGCAGTATTTCAGAAACAATTTTAACTTCCTCTAAAGGCAAATATTCATTTTTATATACACACACATACACACACAATTATTCTTTCATTGGCTCTTTTGAAGGTGCTACATTTTTAGAACTAAATTCCAGACATAGAAACTCTAATTAGGCTGATTTTATTTTAATACTTACACACGTTCACTTTTTATAGGTGGCCAAGCTTGCAAGAGCAAAATCAAGTGCTGAAATTCAACCTCATGGTGACTAGATTCTAGGAGTTCCATGAACAGACAGTAGCGGTTCTCTTCATTCTCAATGTCAGCTATATCTACCTGGAAGTAGAAATACAG